CAGCAAGCTTTCCAAGAGTTTTCCCATGACTGGTAACAGTTTATGGGTCTGTAGAAGTGAGGGTCCTCTGAAATTTTGGTCTTTTTTGAAAGGAGGATAATTTATACTTGTTTATAGCAATCCGGGAAACATTGAAGGTTGAGACATTTATTATAAGGGTTCAGAAGGATTAACTTCGCATATGAGTTTTAACATTTTGTTAGGCATACCCTCTGGGCCTGGTGCCTTTTTATTGTACAGTGCTTTTACTATATATAGCAGTTCATTCTTAGTGAAAGGTACATCGTCGTTTGAGTTGGAATATTCAGTTGACATTCTTATTTCCTGTTGGGTGAGGGTGTCTTGATCGGTGTGGTCCGGAAGAAAGACATGATCCAGGATGTTATAAATGGTGGTGTTGGTGATGTTATTATAGTAAGACGACTGAGCATTGGCTGGGTCGTGAAACAGCGTCGGCTGAAAGATCTTTAAAAGTTGTCATTTTATAAAGTGTGTCGCACGCGTAAGTATTGCGGGTGCAATAAGATTCCATGATTTCAGTTTGGCCTCTAAGATCTGCTTTTTATGTAGTGCCATTTGTCTATTATATTCAGTACAAGTAATTATTCTGTCTTCATCGTTTGTACGCGTCTTTAGTCTTCTTCGTAAAGCCCTGGTGTTTTGGCTAGCAGCTTTTAGATCCTTGGTTCACTAGTTGATATTAGTGGTGTTGGTAAGAGTTTTTAATTTTAGTAAAGCTATCAGGACTTGTGTTCCTCTTTACTTGCTTTGGAAACATGAACTGTCCTGACTCGGAACAGGGAGCTTACTCAAGCTATGTTCAATAAATTGTGAAGTAGACAATACACACAGGAAGGGTATACGAAACCTTTTATTTTTCTATCTTTACAGAGATTTCCGGACTTCGGAATACAGAGACCAACCACTTGTGGTCTGAACGTAAAAATATAAAACTACTAACTAAACTCTAACTAAACCTAACTTTGGATTAATATACAAGTGCCTGACTTTAAGATTGGCTGTATTTAACAAAATCCGTATGTAGTACAGAGAGCTGCTAAAACTACGATACGTTTAAAATTATCAAGAGGATTAAACCTCTGGCCTTGAAGGCAACCAGCAATCGAGTAAAACTACTATGGCAAGCGGCCTGCTTCTAATAACTCCTTCCTCTCTCTTGCTTGGCAAAAAGCCACAACTTAAGTACTTGGCGTTAGCAAGACAAATTTGCATAAATAAGTTAAAGCTTTTAATTCTGGCCGGAAGTAGAAAATAAGAAGTGATAGTAAAGATTTAAAATAAAATAAACGTTAGTAAAACTTAGGATCCTTACAAGGCATGACAGCAATCCTGAATAGTTTAAGTGAGAAATACTGCACATTTATTAGCATCTTCTTTGGTGTTTATCTGGGCAATAGTGTCTAAGATGGAACGAGTTTTGGATTCAAGACATTTTTCTGAAATTTTTTGCTCATTGCTGTTGATTCGAAAACAAAATATGTGTGGTTTTGATCTGCATATTAATTTAAAAGGCGTTGGGTTGATGATCTGATATTGATTCATATGTAGTGATTTTCCGGTTTATGATGTTTTGGGTGAGGGGATGCATACTTAGTGTTAGGTCTGGCCAAACTTTTCAGTTGATTGTGCAATATGTGGGAATCTTCTGGGTCATTGCGGAGAATGAGATTATATGAAAAGATGAAGTCTTCCATCTCCGTGCCTCTTGGTGTCGTATGTGGTAGCCCCAAGTACTGCTTTGTGCATTGAAATCCCCATTTATTACTTGAAGACATTAGAGCTGTGGCTAGTTAGTTAGGTATAGTTGAGCATTTGGTAATGGTGACTGAGATGGTAACAACGTCGCGATGAGATTTTATAACTATTGATGGCCATGCTTTGCTGGTTATGATAATAGCTGCTCTGGGAGATTGTTGATGGTTGGGATCCTTCCAGGAGCTGTCATTCCACGAAAGCGGCGAATTACGAAGGCAATCTCGATGACAGTACAGTTCTTGTACAAATACGATATCATGATAGTATTCTGATATATGTTGAATTAAATTATCTGTTGCAGGTTTTGAGCGCTGGAGATTGATATGCAATAATTTGATATTATTATTATAATTAGAGTGTTAGAGGATTTTAGAAAGCTGGATTGCGATATTTGTTTCATTATCTAGACTACTACTAATTGTATTGCATGCGATGTTTGATTCTCTTGACATATCTATGAACGTTGGACAATACTTTACATAAACATGATGATCACATGGATAGTTTGTTCCATTTTGTTTGTTGCTGAGTTCACAATTTATACAATGAAGACTGTTAGATGGACATTCAATTTATTGATGTCTGCCGCCACAGTATGCGCAGTGTGAGTAAAAGGTACAGTCTTTGGAACGATGGCTAAAATCTTAGCAGTTGTAACGTCTATGTGCACCAATGAATTAGGAGGTTGAACTAGCATGCCATCCAATGTGAATGGTATGTAGATTAATGCATTTATGAAATAGTTCAGGTTGACATTCAATGATCTATTTAATCGTGTTAAATTTATCTTTAAGTTTCAATAGAGGTTAAAAATTGGTGATGTCGCTGTTCGTTGCTTTGGCTAATGTATCGCATACCATTTCTGCTGTTGTGTTTTGTGGAAGTTCATGAATTGTGCATTTAGGGGTCCTTAGGTTTGGTATTCTTGTGGGAATTAGGTTGCTGGCGAGCTCTGCATTGCTAAGCTTGCTGTTCAATTCATTTACGTCATTCTTTGAATTGCAATATACTGCTAGCCCACCTTGTTTGATCGGTACAATTTTCTTTATTTGGTACTGAACATTTTCAAGAGGCAGGATGTCTTGTAACTTTTCTTGAAGTTTTGAGACATTTCTGGCATCATTTTCATAAATCAAGAAGTCCAGTTGCTTTTTCTTTTGTTGCAGGACTTGTCATCTGTTCATTTGCAGCATCCGAATGATTGGGTGTCGGTCTTGAGGGTATGATTGCGCTATTATTCGGTGCATAGTCTTTGAAATAGTCCATATCAGGGTGCTGATGGTTTGACTGCAAGGGTGAAAGATTTATAGGTGATGTTGAAGCATCGTTCAGTAGAATAGCTACTGGTTCGGTTGCAGTATCTTGGAAATTGAGTGTTTGTACTGTTGATTTGCAAGAGCAGACGTCTAAAGCACAGTCTTTTAGGAATTCAACGATTGATTTAATTTTGTTACAAAGTTCTTTTGATAGATATCTTTTGTGCTTATTGTCACTCTTTAACAGTGTTATGCATTTGTCGTAAGCATCTTGGATATTCAATCGTATTTCGTCAATTGTATCTGGTATTATGAGGATATTACCTTGTTCCGTAGATTTCAAAGATGCAGGTGATGGTGCTCCTTTTAGGCAGATAGCCCTCGGAGCTTTGTACGATAGTGAAGGATTACGTTATTCAAAATTTGATGGCTCTAGGTACCGTCCTTTCTTCACAATGGGACAGCAATATACATTCACGCAGATTCTTCATAATTTAATTTCTTTACATCTAACACAGGACGATAACATTTGGTGGCAACAATCTGAAAAGTGAAATGGACATTTGTAGCGAAAAAACGCAAAATGCCGTTTCGAAACTAAGAGCCCTTTTGGCTACTGCTCCTTTGGGCTTAAAAAAAATTAGACAGAACGAAGAAAAGAAAAAGAAAGACAAAGAAAAAAAAAAAAAAAAAGGAGGAAGTGGAGGAAAAGAAAATCGAGAAAAAATAAAGAAAACTGATTGTTCTACCAAAAGAAGTGAATATTAAACATAATTTTTAAAAATCATCCTAAGATTTAAGTACAGCTATTCTTATGCTCTATTATAAAATCTGTTCTTCGTTCTTTTGCAGTTTCACTATATGTTAATAATTTTGGCTCAATAAATTACTTAGAGTAAATACTATGATTCTGATCCTCCTCTCGAATTAAACATTTAAAGCTACGAATAATTACTTTAAAGACTAAACTACGGAAACAACTAAAAACCACTAACAAAACATACTGACGAATTTAGCTTTAACTTCTGAGTGCAAAAATAATACGCAATTTCCTGTTGCCGTGATACAGATTGCAGGGAATTTTATCCTTATTTTACGGTAAAAGAAACAAACCGAAGTAAATGTTAATTGAAAGGATTTTATTTATTACTAAGCACGTGATAAAATTACTTTAAAACAAAATTAGTGATTTCTGCTTGGGACAATGACTAATGCAATTGTACAAAAGTTTAACGGCAAGGAGCGTAGAGTATTTCGATGCCGTCATAAAGTGTTTTCTGATTTCTTCGTTTGAGTCAATCTCCATCGCAAAATCAGGCAGTTTCTGTACTTTTTAAAATAATTCGTTTAACATTTTGCCAATTAAAAACGCTTTATCTTCTTCATTAGCATTCCTTTCCCTGTGCGTTGCTGTTATAAAATCCACCTGTTCTTCGCTCGTCATTTCCAATTAGTTCTTTGACCTGGTCTTCTTTCATATATAAAAATACCTCGCCGTCAGTTGCATTTGCAATTCATACGATTTCTTCGGTTTCATTTTTAGTCAATTTATTTCTAATCATTTAAAATTATTGATAACTTTTGACCAGAGCTGATACTAGCAAGCATTTAGTGTTGATAAATGAGCGTTGAAATCAGCTTAATTGAAATTCTAGCGTTGGAGAGATTGAATGGAAACAATTAAGATAACGCGTATATGTGAAATCGCGTTCTGAAAATTCGCATTCTGCAAGGGCTTACTGTATATCCGGTTTCCATACTTTCAGAGGTTCGCTAAGGCAGTATAAATTCACATTAAATATATAGAAAATTGGACGGGAGGAAAAGCTTCGTTCGTTATATCCGGGATTCATTACAAGCCGGGTTCGAAATAACGGAGTTCAACTGTATTACAGTAGCTTGCTCTATTTTTTTTTTTAACATTTCAAATTGAATTTTTAATTATTTCCTTATTTACTTCCTCACAAGCTACAGCAGCTGGACGGCGACAGTTTGAGAAACAACACTTTTATACTGAGGTATTAAAGCTTCTAGATGACGAAAATGAAGAAGTCAGGAAGTCGACGAGCGAAGTTCTCGAACGAATAGCTTTGTCTCCATTCTGTAAGTGAGAAAATGTGCATTATATAATATGTATAATGAAATATTCTTCCATAAGTTGCATTATTTTACTTAGTGAACAGAAAATTTTGAAAATCAAATCTTTTTGTTGCAGCAATCAAATTATCTTATGAATAATTAGTTCTACAACTCACATAACGAGACTCAAAAATAAATGCCGTTCAGATAGGCATAATTCAAGCAAATATAAATTATCGTAACAGGTGATAAATTTCTTTCTCTAATGCATAATTAATCTTCCAAAAAATACACCAGTAAATGGAAGGAACTTTCATACAAGACGAATCATAAGGCAGTCAACTATGGAAACTAGACAGCATCAAATTTCTGCAATCCTATAAATCCTATCGAGTGATATTGGATTTCAAGAAGGCCAAAATAAAGGTGCCAGCATCGCATCCAAGTCGCTTTGGGTTTCTGCTGAAATATGCTTGACTTATTTTTAGAGGGATATCATGCTAATATATTCCTCTAATCGGTTATCTTAGATCACTTCCTTGTTTATGGAAGATGGCACACCTTTCCATATTGCGAAGCATAACCAGATATGACTCGAACAAAGTTACTTCCAGAAATGTCATTGCCAAGCCTCAGCCTAAGTATGAATACCATCGATCACCTCCGGGCTGTATTGATTACCCGATTTGAAATAAACTGATCCAAGATGATTTGAAAATCGACTCTACGGAGGGCCCTATTTCTAAGCTTAAGAGAGTTTCTTCGCCTATGATGCTTCAAATTTTTCAGAAGTCCTCAACTGCCAGATCATTCCAGAAGATAATTTGACCACTTGCTATCCACATACTTAATCACAATTACGTAATTTAGCTTAAATTACTGACTTTTAGTTATTTTTCGTTTATATGACGTGAATTTTGTCTCTCGTTGCTTTCCATCTGATTGCTATGCTTGCAGTACAGGAATCGATAGCCCCTTTACTTTGTAAGTTCCAACCTAGAGTTTACAGCTGAACGTGGGGAACCTTAAGAGCTGGTAAGTTCAGAAAGATAGAAACGTAAAAGTACGAAGGGTTAATTACCCTTTATTATTAAAAATAAATTTAACAGTTGACTCCTCTTGGAGTTTACATCAAAGCCTCCACTTAGGCATGAACTCAGGAATACTAAGAAATAAAACGTAACTAAACTGAAAAGATATAGACGAAGCTATCAAGGTTCTACAAGAGTTGGCTCCTTAACGCTAACTATGAAGGACCTGAAATACGGCTGTACGTTGAAATAGCTTTAAAGAGAGTAGCCTAAAAGGCGAAAGCGCGCTGGTCAGAATCTTTGGCTCTCTAACGAAATCAGTAATAGAACTTCAACTTTAAATACTTGCTCTTCTTTCATTTACCTTTAACCGCGATTTTGAAAACATGTTCTGGCAGGAAATTGTAAGCTGAAATTAAGAAGTATAGGAAAGTGACCTTTAACTCAAAATAAACTGTTAAAAACTTAGGATAAAGCTTACAACTTCATTTTCTTGACCGTTCTCGGAGTTCATCTGCTAGCTCGTCAAAGTTGTCTGCCTTTAAAGACTTAATTTTCTTATATACTCACTAAAGCCTCGTGTGGGGATATATAAGCAACTTCTGATCAGAGCTATATTGGTCTTATTACAGGCTCAACTCAAATTACACAGAGCACTGTTTTCTAGTTTTATCTCCACAAAAACTGAAAATATATACACTTTATAACATGCAATGATTATGGCTGCTTTAAAATAAATTCAACCCCATTTTCAATTTTTTCCACTACGAAAGATTGAAAATAAATATAAGTGAAAAAACATTAGATATCTAGTTATAATATACTGTGAAATACATAAATATATTGTTGCGTTTTTCTTTTTCTGACACCAATTGTTACGAGGTTCGTAGATTTGAAGTGAATAACAACGACACTTGATGAAGTATCGAAACACACTTTATTTACCAATATTAATCAGGACAGCTCCAAAACACTTTTACAGTCGTCGAAGATCTACTATAAAGCCGCTGGAACAATCAGCGACACATCCTTCATACTGTCAGGCAATAACAGTGGAGTTTCACTACAAAGCACCAGAATACAGCTCCCGACTCTGATCGGTCGTTCTCAGAACTCCACGTACTCTCGAGACTATCCACGTTACAACTCGTGATGCACTCGACGACACACAGAGCACAGCTCCCGACTTTTCGGTTCAGTCGTTCCCGGAGCTCAACACGCTATCTCGACGAAGCACTAACCGCGATACACTGTAAGACTCTCGGTGCATTCGACGACCCACTCAGCACTCGCTGCCCGGCTGTCAACTCGATCGACTCCGCAGGGATTGACTCGCTAGACGAGACACCAACTCGATACTAACTATCTCGCACTCCAGACGAGGCACTCTGACTCTCGACGAGGCACACTCTTGATGCTAACTAACTGAAAACCTGCAGGGTTTATATAGCTTTCGGCTTGTGTTCTAAAACATTCTGTGCTAAACCGGTAAAAATTCGTTCCAGAAGGTTCTCCATCAATCCATGGCATATCGCCAATTTTGTCGCCAAATGTCGCTAAATGGGTGATTTTTCGCCAAATGTGGCAACCCTACCTTCCTTTGCCATTTTATGGCAACTCTAAAACTGCTTTGCGGGGAAGCCATCGCACCGCGCCTTGACATTTCGTAACAATATAAATATGTAGAATACACTGGCATACAACAATTAGAGAACAAAACTATTTTTGAAGGTAATGAAAACTCTAAATTTACAATTAAACTAAAAACGGTCTGCCGAGAAAATGTTAAGATGGGTCTATAAAAAGTGAAATGATTGGTAAGCTGGAAGAACGGGTATTGGTCTGAGACATGCAGTAGCTATGTAAATTCCATATTGCTCCTAGCACTATATCGCAGCTTTAAATTGCTTTCAAAAAAATGTAATTGTTTAAATAACTATTGTTGTCGCCCATGAATAACAACAAAAAAAATCAATAATTTCCTCTTTATACAGCTTTATAGGCCAAGAGATACTGACACCAGTCAATGAACTACCATCTGCTACAAACCAATCTCATGAGAGCAATGGATGCTAAATAGTGCGAACCATTGCAAACAGACCATTTCATAAAAGAGAGTTGTCTGTCTATATCTGCTGTGCCTTTGCTATACTTCTGTGCTTTTAAACACTTGCCTAATGATTTTACCCTTTATAGGGATACAGAGAACAAGAGGTTGAGATAAAGATCAGTATTGTAAGATACCGTTAGTGTGCGGTAACTTACTACACTAACGGTGTACTGGCAACGTATACTAGCAGTATACTAGCAGCTAAATTAACATTTATTGAGGAATTGCAATTTCCAAACCCATTCTCAGCTACAACAGCAATGTGTCGGATGAAAAAACCATTTAACATTCGAACATTAATCAAGCTCGGTTAACGTCGGCTGTTCTAGCCTTCTGCGGGCGCTTCTTTACATGAAATGGCGAAAGAACATGAGCTCCCGGTCATCCCAGTTTTGACGTACTTCGTTTCCCATACTAAATTGCGCAAACCTGTAGTCTGAGCAAGTAATGCGAAGAAGCACGGCATATAAGAAAGTAACATAAAGTTAATTATTAGTAAAACTTAAGCCAAGCCATGAAATTCTTATTAAACTGATATCAAGTATTTTTAAGCAATAATAACTTTTTTAGTTGTTCTTAAGTAGTATTTTTTCATAACGATACAATTAATTGCATTAAGTGTTATTCATTAGAAGTAAAATGCTTATTCAAAGTGAGTGGTAGTGAAGTTAATCTTGTGCACTTCTTGTGGACGGGAACTTATGATTTACCATACTTTCCAGGTGCTGAATCTCTCGTGAAAGCTGGAGCAATAGCAAAATTAATAAATAGAATACCGGAAGAAACCGAAGATGTTTTGGTAAGTTCCTGGACATCTATGTTAGCGACTTTGAAAAACTGATGTAGTATGCATTACAGTGTGAGGGGAATAAGAGTTATGTTAAAGTCTTTCATCTAGTCTCCAAGAATAAACCAGGTAAATGTCCGTGGCAAGCACACAAGGACTACCAGCTTAAAGAAAGCGATGTCTTTTGCAAGGAATTTGTAAGATTAATTTCTTATTACACGTCACCTGTTAAACCGTCCTCTGTTTCAGAATAGTTTTCACCTTCCAATTTAATTAGAATTCTAAATTCCAAGAATGCTGTCAAACGATGGAAACTTAAAAACGAAAACTTTACTAAAAGCACTTCTTGTGGTACAACTAAAACTTTAAGATTTAGTTATTGCTACTTGCGGGATAACATAAATACAAGTTTTTAAATATGTAGAATGCTCGAAATAATTTACACTGCCTTACTAATCCGGATCCAGCTGCCACAGCTTCTAATCCTACCAGCTAACAAAACGAAATTTCTTATCAAAATCCCCAACGACACAGATCTGGAAGTCTCAAGACGTTTCTAGCCTGTTTTCACAGTTCCCTGCAAAATACATGTTAGGCCGCGATTTAAATCCAATCTAATTTGCATTCTGGTGATGTCTGACAAGAGAAATAGGAGGTACAGGTGAGAATTATCATAAAAATGAATAGTTAAATAAAATCTTAGAAATATTCTGGTAAACTGGTTCGTGTTCGTGTTACACATGAAGAAAACCATGAAAACATCTATGCAGCCGGTCTTCCACCAGAATTTGAATCCGGGTCAAATTCTTGGAAACAATGTTCCACTAACAGGCCAAAGTTCACACTTGTCCACTCGGCACTGGCGGGTCAAAAGGGTGGGGCATTTGTTTTACATTAAACTTTCTGAGCTGCGTTTCAGATGTAATTTATTCAATATGTTGTTACTGTAAATGTTAATAATTTATATTTTCTATTATGATTTGAATTTTAGGTGTTTGTATAGTTTTGAAAGTATTTTTTTAACATATTGTTGCATGAAGATAAGAAAAAGGTAAATAAGGAAAAAATTAAGAATAGTTCTAGCGCCGTAACAGCAAAGATTTCGTCTAAATATTTTAGTGTGAATCAAGGAGCTAAGGAATTAATCGATGACTTTCCAACTGTTAAACTTATTTTTGACCGTAAATTAATTAATGCAATAGCAGATACAGGCATACAATTAACTATTGTTAAGGCTGATATTGTACCAGAAAGATACCGTATGCCCCATGGAAATATTATCCTCACGTCAGCTTTCGGACAATCTTTAAAGGCTCCTTTCATTAACCTACCTTTTGTGATGCATTCTGAAGATGATAAATTTAAGTCACCTATTTTTATAACATGTGCAATGGTTGATAAGTTATGTAATGATTTACTTTTGTCGTTAAGTGCTTTTAATGAGTTAAACGCAGATGATAAACGAAAGTTTAATTTTGAATGCAAAAATATAAACATTACAAATGATAATTTGATTGAAATGCCTTTTTATAAAACTGAAAATTTTGACGAAATATTTAACCATGATAGGGCAAATCTAACTAAGGAAAAGTGTAATGAAACTGTTAAGAAAATAATGGAATGTTGTACTTTTATATATGAAGTCACAGGTAAGGATGTCTCTAAAGGTAGCACGAAACAAGTTGGTGTATTTAATTATGGCAAAGCACACGAGGGCTATCTGCCTAAGGCGAGGGATGCCTTCGTGGAGGACTTTCTAAGGGAAACTGACTCGTATACACGTTACACATGGGGAAAACCACGAAAACGCCCATGCAGCCAGCCCATTCTCGGGATTCGAACCTCGGACCGAACTACCAGTAACACGAAACAAGATCAACGTGTTTCGGATTCAGAACTTTTTCGAGTTCAACAAATGAATGATCCATCTTTAAAAACATGCTGGCAAGATGCTAAGAATGGGAGTAATAACTTTATTGTTACTGAAAAAGTTTTGTATCATAAAGATAAAATTTTAGGAGAAAGAGTTCACCAGTTAGTTGTTCCTAAGGAAAGAAGAAAACTTTTGGACTTAGCTCACTCTGGCTTATCGGGAGGTCACCTGCGAACCAAGAAGACAGCCGAACGATTGATATATTCCTTCTATTGGCCTGAAATCAAGAAAAAGGTGAATGAATGTCGTAATACTTACCAACTTCAAGCTAAATAGCGTCCCTTTGATGAAGTTCCGATGACGCCAGTAACATATCCTAACGAACCATTCCAGGTAATTAATGTGGATATCCTCGGACCTCTAGAACCAAGCTGTTGAGGTTATAAATATGTTCTGTGTGCTGTTGATCAATGTTCAAAATGGCCTGAAGCGGTACCTTTGAAGAATCTGAAAGCCAAATCAACATGCGATGCGTTGTTGCAAATCGTTACACGCACTAGAATTCCTCAGATTGTTGCTTCGGATCAAGGAACTAATTTTACTGCTTCGTTGATTCAAGAGTTTTTGAAACGGATAATTTGAAGATGAAGTTAGAAAAAGCTGTTGAATGCGCAGGACTTGCAGTTGTTGGAAAGTAACAAGCTTATGCATTCTAACTTAACCGGAAGATTCGACATAAAGAATTTAAGGAAGGTGACAGTGTTATAGTCTTAATCCCTGATTGTGAAAACAAAGTTTATGCCAGATGTACCAGATCTCTTACGATCATCAAAAAGCACACTAATTATAGTTATATAGTGCAAATGCCTGACAATTCTTCGAAGCGCGTTCACGCAAACAAGATACGAGAGTTCAAGACTGCTGTGAATAATATCGGTGTGACATATGATACATACATTGATTTCGGAGAAGTTGAAAACATTCCAAGAATTGTTCCATTAAAAGCAGAAGAACACTATTCCTATGAAGAATGTGGTCTTACGCACCTTGAACTGCATAAGAGAAAAGAACTCATATAATTTTTAAGAAAGCATACCAATCTAAGGCCTGGTATTTCAAAAATTATCAATGCTGGAGAACATAACACCAAACTAAAGCCTGAAAGTGTGCCAAAGAACCAGAAACCGTACCAGATGCCTGAAGATCTAAAAAGTGAAGTTGATCGACAAATAGATAAGCTATTACAGCTAGGGTTAATCGTTGAATCAGAGAGTGAATATGCGCATCCAGTAGTTTAAACTACACAATTGTGTGTCCAAAAAAGATGGAAGGGTCAGATTATGTGTGGACTATCGATACCCGAACTCACAGATGGAAACTAATACCTTTCCCAAGAAAAACACAGTAGACCTAATTTACCAAGTATCAAAGTCCAAATACATTACTTTGATTGATCTTCTTAAAGAATAGTGGCAGATACGACTGAAACCTGAGTGCCAACTTTTAACGTCGTTTGTGACGCACCGAGAATAATATCCTTTGCAGTTTTACCCTTTGGATTAAAGAATGCCGCCGCAACTTTTCAGAGGATTATGGAGCAAGCTTCTCGCCAAACATAAAGACTATGCCGATTCTTATATTGATGACGTAATTATATTTTCCGATGACGAATACACATCTGAAACATCTTAATAAAGTTTTAAGTACGCTCTGGTTCATACGAACCTGACCCGGAAAATGTTGAAGCCCTACAGAATTTAGAAGTTCCCCGTACTAAGAAAGATTTTTAAGAAGCATTTTAGGCCTATTATCATATTACTGATCTTACGTACCCAATTTTTCTCCAACCTTTAACTGCATTGACAAAAAGAAGAGCTTCGAACGAAATTACTTGGCTGAAGGAACTTGTTTTGCTCAGTAAGATAAAAACAGTGTAGGACACACAATAGCCTTTGCTAGCAAATAGTTGACTGAGAGTCAGAGAAATTATACTGTTATTGAAGAGGAAGCTTTTCCCATTATCTTTGCCCTAGAGAAATTTGAAACCTATATATATTTAGTTCTGAGATCGTCATCGTTAGTGATTATAACCCTCTCAAATTTCTCACCGAATGTTCCTCACAAAGTTCTCGGTTTGTAACACTGGGCTTTAGCATTACAACGAGTTTATGCAGTGATTGAAAAGAAAATACCATATTAACATAGATTCATTATCTCGATTAACTACCTGTTGCTTAACAAGAAATCATAGGTTCGAAAATCTGAGCCGACACTTTTTAAAACACCAACATTTATTTTACACGCCATTTCTAATTCTACAAAATCTTAAATGCAACTAACTATCAAACAGAAAAGTAGACGTAGACGTAATGATGTGTCTGGGCACGTGATCCTCGTGACAGACGAATTCTTTAGGGTTGCCACAGAAAGGCGGTGTGCCGCCACAATTCTCCCACCTTTTGAGTGGATGGCTACACACTCAAAACATAAAACTTACATCAATATAAATGATGGTTATATAACAAAGAAAATGACTTAATACTTAAATCATATTACTTGAAAACAAAATTAATACTGAGAAATGATACAACAATAATAGCACAAAAAATTAAATTATAATAACTCAAAGACATAAATTACATTATTCGTGATTTTACAATTCTACCACTACTGGTGGTGAAAGGAACTTGCTCATTTTGAGTATTATCTATTATATTATCCAGTTCCAATCTGAACAATCTCTGTATTGGTCTCAAGAACTCTAATTATTGCTTTTTACAACAGCAACTCTTATGTTGCCATCTCGACCAGGGATCACCCGAATAACGCGTGTTCAATTCCAATATGCACGGTTTTTATTTTGATCCTCCAGTAAGACAATTTCTCCTACAGAGAGAGAGGTTTATTTTTGTAATTTCTGGTAGACTGCTGTCTTAACTTGCCCTAGACACTCAGAGAGAAATCTCACTCTTAACAATTCTCTCATTCCCTCTGGAGATACTTCGCTCTTCTACTCAATTTTTCTTTGTCCACATTGTCAATATCAGGTACACCTGACTGTGGAGTTTCATGCAGAAATTTTTTCGGAGTTAAAGGCAAGGGATCTTCAATATCGTCAGACACGTACGTAAGTTGGTCT